CCCCCCCCCCAGAAGAGCAAGGCCAAGAGCAAGCCCACGCACGCTGGTGCTCGGGTCGTTGATGCTGGGCCCGGCCGCGCCGGCCAGGTGGGGCGCTTCGGCGTAGTACGATTGGTCGTAGTAGGCGTTCATGTCACGCTCGCTGTCCGGCGGGTAGTACAGATCACCAATGGCGTAGGAGAAGGCCCGGGTGGTGAGCTGATTCCAGAAGGACAGAAGCGACGAGTTCCCTCGGCGAGAGTGGTGCCGCTGGCTGGAGGAGGGGGAAAAGGGCGAAGCCGTGGCCGAGTCCGAGGCGTTCTCCGGATCGGTGCCCGAGCTGTCTAAGTCCGGCGAGGAGGGGGAGGGCCGCCGGGAGGCCGGAGCCAGCAGCGACGCGAGAACCGACGGGGAGGCTGACCACCGGGGAGGGGAAGCAGCGGGGGCGAGGTTGGCAACCGGTCGAGCCCGGGGCGGGTGATGGTAGGGGGGCGGGCGCTGGCCGAGGGGGTGCTGCTGGGCCTGGGCTTTGTGGATGGCCTGCTTGAGGTGTGTCAGATCCGACGGGTGGTCGAAGGTCGGCCGACGAAAGGGGGGGCTTTGACCGGGGTCGAGGTCCTCCTCCGAGAGGGAGTCCGCGTCGTGCAGCGACTCGAGGTCCGGTGTCAGGGATACGTGCGAGTCCCGGGTGGCGGTGAAGGCCTGCGTCGGAGGCTGGCCGGGATGGGGCTGGTGCAGGGGCAGCAGTGGTGGCGAGGCAAGCGAGCGGGGGGCAGGGAGGGGAGGCGTGCTGGACCCGGCCGGGGCGTCGGGGTTCCCCGCAGTGCCCGGTCTTGAGCCTGGGTGTCTGTCGATCAGGGCCAGGCTCTCCTCTGCCGGGACCGACTCGTGGGGGAGTCGCATATTGTCGGGTCCGCGCGTCTGTGACGAACCGGACCGATTGGCCGCCCGGTCAGGGGGGGGGGGGTGGGGGGGGAACAACAGACGAGATCTGGCTTGGTGGGTTGTTTCCACGTCTCTCTCTCTCTCTTCCTCTCTCTCTTTCTCTTTCCCGATTTCCCGATGTGCGCTGGCGTCACACGGCTCGGGTGCCTTCGCTCGCGAGCTGCCCGCGGCCCTGTTCCGGTTGGGATGGAGTTTGGGGCGGGAGGTGTGATATGGCACCCCACCAGGGGCGGCGTGAGCTGGCGCCGGGAAATGTGCCCGGTCGGCTGGGGCCCGACTTTCGGTGTTTGTATTCCCCCGCCTCCTCGGGGAGGGGTGCCTGCAGCGGAGACGGCGGCGGCGACGACGACGGCGGCGGCGGCGGCGGCGGCGGTGTTGTTATGAGCGGCGCGGGACGCGTGTGCCGGCGCGGGGCCAGCCTTCCGTTGGAAGGCGCTTCTTGGAGTGCAGAAGTCACGGCACGTGACCGTTCCTCGGGGCGGTGCTGGGATGGCAGATCGGCCGCTGTTCAACCAAGCTGAGCTGTTGTTACTTCCCTTTTTCGAGCACCTCGCGGAGTGGCGGACCGAGCGCTGGGCGGGTGCCCGAGAGGGGAGAGTTGGGGAAGAGGCGCGCGAGGGCAGGGCGAGGAGCATGTGAGTCTTTGGGCCCAGCAAGGCATCTACTGGGGCAGTGGCGTCTTGCCGCTTTCCGAGCGCGAGGCTCCGATGCCCAGCAATATGCTCAAGCGTACCTGGGCAATGGGCCGAGGCGCGAGACCGGGACACCTGGCGAGGGCGGCCAAGGGCAGGATCCCTCTGGGGTCCAGATGGTCGAGCGGATAGAAAGCGGTGCAAGGGTGGCTGTGAGGGCTGGCGCGGTGCGTGCTCCGCGTGTCTGTGAATGAGGGGCGGGGTGCTGGGCGACTGGTGGGGGTGGCGATGGAAGGATGTGACTTGCGGAGGGGGCTGAGCCGGGATGCGCCCCGGCGCCCCGGCCCGCTGTCGGTGCTTAAATAACCCCCGAGCAGCTGGAGCGGCTCCAAGATCCTCCACCGCACAAGGGGGGGGGGGGGG